AAACATATGTTAGATGTCAAACAAGAAAAAAGAAATAAAGGTTCTATTTCTTCTATTTTTTATATGTTTTAAAAACTGATTGCAACAATACAGTTGCAGGACTGAAAATCCAAATAAATCATATGAGGCCAGCTTCTCGTCCAGTCAACAAGAGAAGAGCAAGATAGTAGTTGAGAAAGTGGATGGGGTGGTGGAGCCCAACGTCACCAGTCGACCCCCTCTGGCATTCAATTCAAACACAAACACATCCCCAAGCAAGGGAGCATCAGCTCCTCTCCCTGCTGAATTCAATGGGGTTCCTGCAGGTCTGCCTGCAAGATTTGAAAAGTGAGTGGAAAATTCTCATTCATTATTGATATATTTATAATTGTTGGATTATAACTGTGTGTTTTAATAGGAAATTCCCCAAGGAAGTTTTGAATTGAATTACAAAAGGAGCAATATATATTTCATGATTTTATTTTAGCAGTGAAGGCAGTTTATCAGTAATGCCCTCTATTTGATTTCTTTTTAGCAATGTTCATGTTGTATTGTATTTAGTAATATTTAAATTATTTTGTTGATACCTGTGAAACTAAAGTTCATATTCCCTAACAGATCAACTAATGGTTCAGAAAAACAAATGGATGGACAGATTACAACAATCTCAAGTAAGCGCAAGCATGAAGATGCCCAGCCTATTATGGTCAAGCGCAAACGTGGCAGACCACCCTTATATGAAAGAGCTGCAGCCCCACCACCGAACCGTGTTCCCACTCCACCTCCTGCACAGCCAGTGGTATCTTCAAGACCACAGGCTGTTTCACACACACAGGGAGAGCCTTTAAATGTTCTACCTGAAGCATCACTCTCTAAGTCTGCCAGAGTTCAGGTATTATGAAGAAACTTGCATTTTCCTTTCTTCTGTTCTTTATTTTGTTATATGAATATGTATATATATATATTTTTTTTTTACAGAAGATTAAAGTGGTTGTTGATAATCACAAACCTAAACTTTAAAAATGTCTTTTTTAACAGATTCCCGGAGAGAATTCAACAGATGGTCCCCCTCCACTTCTGATTGTAGAAAACGATTATCGAATTGGGAATCGTGTTGGTATGGGTGGTGGTACACCAAGTCTACACAGAGTCAGCAGAACACAGCTAAATGTTGTGAGTTGGGTGGCTTACCTTACATCTCAAGTCACTGCAGTTGTAGCTACCACAGATGCTGCTGCACTAACCTGTCATGACAAATCACTCCACATATTTGATATAAAGACAGGTAATTTAGCTCATCTTTTTTCTTTCACATTGTTATAATTCATTATTATTCCTCATCCTTCCTCCCCATCTTTCCCATCCTAGTCTCCTACTTTGTCCTTCTGCTATTCATCCTTATCCTTATTTCATTCCTCAGTTCTAAAAAAGAATTTTTGAAGAATCTTTTGAGTGAGAAAGGACTTGACATCCTATTTAAATACAAAGGCTTGTTGATAATTTTTTGAATTTGTTTATAATTTATTTTTATTTATGTATTATATTTTGTGTAATTATTTATTGTTCAAGAAGAAAAAAATTCTTTGTATTTAGTGCCACATCTTATTGATTAATGTTAATGCAGTTAGAGTATATTATAGGTGTAAGTATATGGACACAAATTACGTATGGTACTTTAACTTTCCAGGGGAAATGATGTTACCCCCAGTACAGCTTCAAGGAAAGGCATCACAGCTTTTCGTCCATGAGAACTGCTTGATGGTTATAACAACAGAAGCCACTCTCACAATCTGGGACATCAGTAAGAAGAAGCGAATTCTCTCAGAGACCATTCGACATTTAGGTAGTGTATTGTTTGTATTATATCTGTACATTCAAACTGAAAAAGCAGGTTTTGGAGAGAGAGAGAGAAAGAGTGAGAAAGAAAGAAAGGGAAAGAGGAAGAGAAAGAGAGAGAGTATAGATAAAGATATATATCGATATATATAGATGTTATATATGAATATAGATATTAGATATAGATATATAGATATTATATATAGATGTTGTATATAGATATAGATATTATATATAGATATAGATATATATAGATATATAGATATATGAAGATATAGATAGATATTATATATATATTATTATATATACATATATATCACACACTCACTCACTCACTCACTCTATGGAATTGAGAAATATTTACATTAAGACTGCAATCACTCTTGGATTACTTCTGGAAGATATTTGCCACCTACCATTATCATGTTTACCATCCATACTTGTTCTAATTTTTTAAGTGCTTCTTTTTGTCCTTCATCTATTTCAAGAATCATTATTAAGTCATTCATTTATTTATTATAGTTGAAGGGCGTAACGGCGGAGTGAAGGCTGTCCAGCTCACTGCTGAAGGTACACCAGTTGTACTGCTTGCATCAGGAGAAGCCTTCACCAGATGCCATGACCTGGAGGCTTGGCTTTTGTTAGGTGATTCTGCCAGTGTACGGCGAGTCCTGCAGCCAGAATACACAATGCTGCCTCCCTGTCATCAAAGTGAATATAAAGCAAGACCTCTTGCTAGTCTCTTGCACCAGACTGCTGCCTAGTAAGTATAAATGTAATGATTTGTGTCAGAGGATAATTTCCTAGCAAGATCCTTTTGAGCATTACTAGATGAACACATACATGATAGTAAAGGTATTATATACCGTTTAAAAGAAGTAATATGTCATATGTACTTTCAGTTCTGGCTCTTCAAGAGTGACAAGACCTCTGATCCCAGATGATGCCAAGCAGAACTTGACTGAGGTCTTCATCAACCGCATGCTGACATCTGCCCAGTATCTCAGAGCAGCCCAGGATTACAAATTTTGGTTGAAACGTAAAATTCAATTCTTCATAAAAGAGGGTAGGTTTTTGTTAGTATTCCATGTTTTTATTTTGAATACTAATTCAGCTTCTCTGTTTTGTAAATTTTTTTGAAGTTTGATTGTGAATTTGATATTTTAATTTCTCTTTTTTAAGGGCTTGAAAAGAAATTGCGAGATGTATTTGATGACCTTCTGGGACCGAGACATAGTGGATCTATGGACAATCAAGATCAAAATGGATGGATGCCCAAGATCATGGTGTGTTATTTCAGTAAATTTAAACTACTTACCTACGTGAAATTGAGGAAAGGAAATTGTTCATCAAACAATCATTATGAAATGCAGAAAATTGTATATTTCATGTTTAGTTATCTTTAGGAAGCACTTTTTTTATGTCTTGTATACCAATCATGGTAGTGAAGTTTATTTAAATCATTAGTCTTTCTAATTTTTTTCTGAAACTTTCCAGGACTTTGATAAAAAGAGTCTGCTTGAAGAGTTCCTTCGAGAGATTCTGCTTGCTGAGAACTCCTTGCAGCTACAGAGGCTCTATTCTGAGTATAAGGAACAGCTGGAAGGCAACCTTATAGACACTATTTAATGTAGCATACTTGGGCATACAATTTTGATATAATACTGATATTTCGAGAAGTACTGTAATCTTTATCTCGTGACCAATATCTTGAATTTAGATGCTGTTAGTGCTTATATGTCTTTAGTTGAATTTTAGCCATGGATTTTGTCGTCATGAGTTGTAGAAAGAAATGAAGGCTGACTTCTTATGAGGCACCCCAATATCTTGACAAATTTGGAAATTGATTTTTGTGGATAATTGCTAACCCAAAATCATTACATAAACTTGAGGTAATCAGATAAATAACTCTATGAAGTCAATCTTATTAATTCTACTCCTTTTTAAAAACAGTCCCTGCCTTTTGTATAAATATTGTATTTTAGGGTTTTGTGCATAGTGTTCACATGTGATGACGATAGTAATAAGACTGGCGATTAGAAAGCAGCCATTGCTATATGATAATATACATATTTAAAACTGGTGAATAGCATGAACTAGCAATAAGCCAGCTTAGTTCATGTATTGCTCTATTATGCATATGTTTAACTATAAATTGATGTTATTCAAGACAAAGATCACTGCCAGTGACATCTCTTGCCTTAAACAAGTTTGTAAACTCGATAATACTGGCTTTCTTACATTGAGCCAGATATTATGAGGTTGGCTCTGACTACTCAACTGCCAGAAGAACTGTTTCCACTCACTGCCAGATCATATATATATATAAGAGACCCGGTGTCTGCTACATGGTAGAGCATTAGGTTATCAAATAACTGACCTCGTACCTGTAGCTCCTTACCCTCCCTGATGCACTGCCAGTCGTAAAAATGAACTTAAATTAGAAAGTTGGTACATAGGAAGTGTGGGTATGAATGTTTACAATGATGTAAGTTTACCTGTATAATCATGCAATTAAGTGTGAAATTCATGAAAGTTAGCAAGCATAAATGCTAGTGAATGCTGTACATAAGTATTCATTATATTAATGACAATCTTTTTGTGCAGCAAAAAAAAAAAAAAAAAAAAAAAGTCAAGCGCTGTATGAGGTTACCATTTTAGTAATTAATGCATCAGTCATCCATCAGTTCATTTCACTTTCATTTATTTTTGCAAATTACAATCGAAACCATTCCTGTTTTCAGCATCCTGATGTCTTTCATACATAAAAATGAATGGAGTGATTTTTATCCTCTTCCTTCCTTTATTTATTACTTTTTTATTAGTTACTTTATTTTTTGATACTTCTTAAAAGGAGAGGAGATTATAATATTAAGTTTTAAACTATACTGAACACTGCCAGCATTATATGAGACATTTGTGATCTTTGTATTTTCTGTAATGCAACATATACAAGGCTTAGTCCTGCACAATTACTGCCAATGATAATTAAGACTGAAGGATAGTAAATGAACAATTTCAAAACAACGTATATTACATATTTACAATATCAACTGCGTTTTACTTTAACAAACCCTGAAATCATAAATGACTTCTATGATTACATAATGATGACAAAGAGCAGTACTTACTCTTTGTGATAAATATACATAGTGAAGTGAACAAGTGTGAAGAAATGACCAAATCATGTTAATCCCATTACAAATCCAAAAAGTTGATGTCCCTCATCTTCAAAATCAAATTAACCTTTTTTCCTGTAACTGATGAGGCATTTAAACACACAAAATACTTGGAAAATACAAAATCTCACCTTAAATGAATTTGGGAATGTTTATATTTTTTCTGGTCTAGTCCTCTGAAATCATGAACATAAATTGCAAGAAAAAATAAGTAAATAAATTATATAGTTCTCAATTACTTACACATTGGATTGTCACACTGAGTAACTTGGTTTCACAAAAAAGGCTCAAAGTACCCTAGTTTAATTATATTTGCACTAGCACTTTCCTAAATATTCCTACAGGTGATGATTGCATCTATAGGTATCTATCAATGTCTTCAAAAACAAATGTCACTTCAACAACGGAATCCCATACTTTGTAAATATTAGTGCTTATTCCATTTACAACTTCGGTGGAAGCTCTTAATCATTCTTTTCCTGCCTGTAACATTGTGTTCAACCTTTCACAAATTGGAAATTATAACAAATTGACAAATAAAATGTTAGTCACTTTAATCTCACTGAAGGCATTTGTGAACCAGGAATTTATAGAGAATGTTGAATATGTTTGAAAGAAACATATAATAAATTCTAGCTAGCCATACACAAATCAGTAACAGTTAATGGTTGAATCTTCCTCTGACAGTTAGAACACAGATCTCAAGGTAACAATTAGGATACTGAAAACAAGCTTTTAGTTTATAGAAGAATATCTGTAATTTCCACATACATAATGGTATAAATATTAATTTTCCATTTCAACATCAAAATATCTTTAATCTGTAGGAAATTGCCTAGAAACTATTTCTGCATGTGTATATCACATGTCTTAACTTCTTTCATTAATATGCAGCTTTACATATTAGTAATTTCCAAATAATGACCATAATTATAACATTTTGTTCCAGGGAAAAAATATAGTTGTGCCCATTAACTAAATAATTTACAATTTCTTAAAAAAAAAAAAAAAAAAAAAAAATGCTGCCTAAATTGATTCACTATACAAACTGCTCTGTACTCTGTGCTGACAAATCAAGTATCCTCCAAGCAGCTCTGGAATCCAGCTCTGTCTGGTCTCGACATAACACCCAAACATACTGAACGCGTAGCACTTTGCTTGGATCCCCTTCCACAACCTGAAAAATTTAATAATTATTGATACTAATTTACAAAAAATAAAAGTCCTCAGTGTATCATAAATAAGTATGTGTAAAAGTACTCAAATCGGCCACAGTTTACCTCCCCCTTTTGATTTCGTAGACACATAATCTGTTGCGACTGGAAGGATATGGCGAGAACTGGTCCCTCATCCATTACTTTCCCCATGACCAAGTCCACATTGTCAACATCTAAAACCTGGTTAGAACAACACCTAGTAAATTTTTTTTTAATAATTATATTCACAATCTCACTGAACTATCTTTCATGAACATAAAATCCACAATGGATTAAGTTTATGAATCAAATAAAATTATTTTTAAGAAGAGGAATGTATACATCAATTCTGAAGAGAAAAATAAATATGACATTAACTCACCTTTGAATCAAATTTGAAACCTAATTGATAAGCTTGCTTTACAGGTGTTGCTAATACAGAAAAGGCTCGCTCATAACACCAGTCCTTAAGGATCTAAGGAGAGAGGAAAAAAAAAAATAATAATAAATAAAAAAATCAAGATGAAAACCTTTACACTTCCAAGATTTTATCTTTGCTATGCATCATACCTGTTTTAAGTACTATCCTTGTTTTGTTCTAATAATTCTAAATACATCTGAAAGTTTCCACACTGCAGTTATATATATCAAAGTTACTGCATCAATAAGATGTAAGTCAGTCGGAGAGACACCTATCAACTTTATAACATTTCTAAGGTTTTAAATCTTCCATCACACTGAAAATACAGAAAACACCCTTCTTCACTATTAATTACATAATAGTATGTAAATAATTTTTAACAAGAAACCTTAAAGAAACCAACCTCTAGATCTGGTCTGATCATAGCTTCTAAAACATTTGGAATCATATCATATTCACATTCTAGAAGAAACCGTTCTTTGTCGAATGTTGGGTCCATTTTGCATATCTCAGTCAAGGCTTCTGAGAGCTCAGTACGCTGGAAGACTCCACCAAATAATTCTGATACCTTTAAAAAGTTCATGAAAAAGTACATTAATCACAAATAAATCAAGCTTCCAAGAGAATAGCTAAATTCATATCATTTTATATATGCCCAAGAAAATAAAAGTTCATTCATGGCAATAGAAAATAACATTCATGTTCAAGTAGCAAAGAAAACTGTTATATTTATGTAGTTTCGTAGATTTTCCATTATATGAAAAAATTTAAACCCTAACATCACAAAATTTTCCAAAATAGGACCACTGTCCTTACCTTATCTTTCACTAGCATTGAAGCACGGACAACTGGATTATCACTCTCATCCAATTTTGTTTTCCATACCAATACTCTGTTAACATATGGGTTATTGTCCTTGAAATTTTGCCAACTTTGAGCAAACTGAGAGTCTTTGTGTAGGACCATACCACTTGCCTCTGTGTTAGCCTGAAAAAAAATATATTTGTTGAACCTAATGATTGCTGTAACTCATTTAAATGCAACTAAAATATATTGTATGGAATATTGAAATATATAATTCAATAAACTCCTATCAAGGTAATTAACCACAATTAAAAAAACTCAAATAAATTAAAGTAAGAAGAAATAAAACAATTCAAATCTTGGAATATATGATTTGACTGAAGATATTATAAAAAAAATATATCATATTTTTTCATATTAACTATGATTGGGAGGACTATTACTTATAAATGAAATAATACAGGTTTGCTGATCTTAATTTCTCTTAGAACAAAGTTATCTCCGTAAGGGCAACTTCCATCCTTGACCAAACATCAAGTCACTACTAATGACTGGAGGAGATACCTGAATGCACAATTAGCTATTGGTTGGTGGAAACCTCACAATGTTTGTTTATCCTGACCAGGTGAATATTATGAATATTCCCTAAACCCTCTTCTTAACATAACTTCTCTTTTTAAAATGATGAATTAGTAAGAATTGTGCTTCTGATTTACTAGTATGTCTTACAAGAAGACTCATACAGCCGATAAAAAAAAAAAGAGAGAAAGAAAGAAAGAAAACATGCACATATGAAATCCACAGAATCAGTACTTCTAAAAACACACCTGAATAATCCTCTGTTCTGCTTCAGGGTCTCGTTCTACTCTTTTTCTAAGTTCCCGAGGAGCTCTGTAAACCCTGGCTCCAGCACCACCAAATGTGGAGTGGTCAATCTCTTCTTTCACAGCCTTGGCAGTTTCAGAGATGGTTTTGAATGTCTGGGTCTTGCTTAATTCCTCTCCTTTTTGTGAAATGGTCTGGCTAACCTTTTGTGCCTGCCTTGTTGCCTCTTCAGTCATTTTTGCTGAAAAGAAAATTATATTACCCTTTTCGCACTTCTCCATGGCAAGAATGTCTTGATTCTTTTACACTTACAACCCCTCCATTATTTTTTTAAATACAAGCAAAGGAGAAAAATATACGTAGTAATAAAACTATTCTACAATCACTTACAGGCTTTCTGAAGGATTTCTGCCTTCTGAGCTTCTTCAACTGTTTCTGAAACACGTTTCTTCAAGAATTCTAACTGCTGCTTAGCCTTTTTGCTTCCTTCTGCTGTTTCCTCCTCTACAGACTGGTATTTCTCTCTATAAGAGAAGCAATATCTAGTTTTACATTGGCTACAAATGGAATGTACAGGGTAGATTTTTCCCTGTATGCAGTCCATCTTTATGAGCAAAATTTAAATAAGAAATAGTTTTTTGAAGCCACAAACATAGTTAAAACAAATCAGCAAGTTTAAACCTAGCTCCCAAAACCTCACCTGGCTTTCTGCAAGGCTTCAGATTTCTCAAGCTTTTCCATATCTTTTCTAAATTCCTTCAAGCTCTCTTTCATCTTCTGATTTCTTGACATTTCTTCTCGGAGATTCTCGATAATTTTCCCTAAGAATGTTGGTGGTCTTTGTGGTGGAGGGGTGGCACTGTAAAATCTCTGCAATATATGAACTTCTATTAGGTGTTGAATCTTAAAAGGTTGCTAAGAGAATATATCTATCATGAATATTAACCACACAAAATAAATAATATTAAAATTAGAAAAAAAATTAAAGTTTAATACAAATACATTACAATTTTATTTGTACAAAATATGAAGTAAATGAGGATTCTATCTCAACCCTATGATGACAGAGCCAGAATTTATGATGCAATATTATGCAACAGTCTAAGACTTTCTAGCTAGGCCTAAGCTATTTACAGCCCGCTTGGCTGTTGTGAGTCATGACGTGTAAATACGACACAGGCCATTACGTTATAACAGCTATAACCATACACATCACTGATGGATTAACATCCACTTCCTATTTCTTAAAAAGAAAATGCAGGCTTACACAAGCAGAATTAAAGTTAGCCACCTGTAAGGAGTGATTGCTGAGTCCTTGTGTTCCAACTGTGGATGCCAATGCCTGGCACCCAGGAACTCTTCCATTCCATGATGGAGGGTGCCTTCCCTTCACCACCAAACATCTGGAGGATCCCTGTAAAATTCAAATATAAAAAGACTGATAAGTCATGCTGAATCAAATAAAACAACTCTCTTGTTCATAAAGCATTCACACAGGTAATGAAGGCTGCATTTGGAAAGTTTTACAATATTTCTGCATTATTCACAAACACAAAAAAGGGATTATGTTCATACTGTCCCAGGCTGAAGTTAAAAAAGTTTCTATTCCCTACAAACTGACAACCTACAGGTAATTCATGAACCTAAGGCCTCAACCTCCTGAATATGAAGTTTTTAAATTGTTATAGAGGCATCAGGCAAAATATTCAAACCACCTCCTATGTGTATGACTTCTATGACAGACATTGGACTGGTTCCCTATCTAATAATCAAGCACCCAGAAGGTTTAAAAGCTCATCTTACTTATGGAGATTTGCTGCCTTTGCCAGAATGCATAAAGCACACCCACCACAGCAACAGCTTGATTCATAGTGATGTTTCTTTGATTAGCAACAGACATCTATTTTTCTCTATCTCTCTGCTGTCTTTATTTCAAACCCTGATAAATTAATAATTTGCATACATTCCTAAATGTGTGTGCTCAATGCCTCAGTGGGCTTGGGTGCCTGAGTAGTTCCCTTGTGCTTTTGGAATTGGAGCCTTTTTAGTGCCACTAATCATTAGGACTCCTTTCATTCATAGCACACAAGGAAGTGGCAATTTACAGGACCTCAAGGTCCTGTAGATCATTCAACTTGTGCCTTGATCTTTTTTTTTTCTTTTTTTTTTCTGTATATGAAAAGGTCATTCTTAACCAAATCCAGAATGGTTGGGTTATCATCTAGAACTACAAGTAAAAATCTAATAAAAATCAGTATGTGCACACAAAGCTAGGGCAATTTGAATATGCAACGGACAAAAAGTTGTATTCATCAGTATTAGAAATAATCTACAGACACTAATGCTAGCACCACTTATTAAAGGAAAAGCTTTTGGAAAGCACCACTCACGGCCCAAATCCACTCAGTGCTCCCAAGTTTTAGCTTTATCTCTTTGTGCATACAGAGGTGAAGGCAATGTTTGTAGGGGGGATACTGACAGGCAGAACCCCCCCATGAATCCTCTCTTTGGGCAGTTCAAAAAGGGCACAGCCAGTCACAACAATGTAAATCGTTGAAAAAAGAAAATTGTGACATCAATCAGTAAATGGTATTTGTTATCCACTGTATGCCCACTTTATTAGTAATCTGTGCTAACTTATAAAAAACATGACATTAAGAACTCTGGCTGTGTAAGGGTTTGTGGACTTAGACTCTGAGCAGTTATATGCAGAGGATATTTTCGTTATTTCATAGTAAATATGAGACCAAAGCAGCTTAAACTATATTGTATCCTATTCTACTTCTTCCCCAATCTCAAATGCATTTCATCACTGCACATGAACTTAACATAATAACTTCCCATATATTTGCTTGCATTACATCCTTAACAATCACCTCTGAAACAACAGCTGATCATGAACTCAACCCTGATCAATAAACCCAGTGAGGGTTTAATCCCTTCCTCATCACATGCCACACTACACAACTGCACTTCTATTTCTCCTGATTATTTTCAGGTTTTCATCTTTCTTGTTTTGATTTTTCATTTTTATTGCACGAACCTATGCTGAACGTTTCCCCGAAAATGCAATAAATGTCAAGAATACTGAAGTAGCAATACCAGTTACATTATCTACTTATGCAAGTGAAAATGAGGGTAATTCCTTCAATTAATACAATACCACAGTACTTTATTTTCCATCTTGTTATGAAACAATATCAAAACGAACAAGAATGTCGATCAGTGAACAGGGTGCCAGTATCATAAAGAGAGAGCATACAAAGAGAATAAAATGGGAACTTTACTTAATTCAAATCCCAAAAAGATTTTAAAAGTTTTAAGCTTTTGAAAACTTGCACACGACGAACATTGTATAGGAATTACTCTTTCTGATGCAATGTCGTCGCATTGGAACACACTGTCATCAGAATAAGGTAAATCAAGACATTATTCAACATTTTCAAAAACGAACAAAAATAAACAAGATCAAACATTCATTCATTCAAAATACGATTCATGGTTTCTTTGAGCCGGTAGCAGACGATACTCAATTTCTCCTCATTTCTAACTTAAATTTACACTCATGCACAACACACAATGCTCCCAATAATCTCCCTAATCCCCTCCAGTCCCTAATCCCCTTAAATTATCCCTAAACAGTGGTGAAAATGCCTACTCACAGAAAAAGGCAAATGTTTCCACGCTCGGGTTATGGAGGCAGCCATTCCTTACGAGAAACTTCACCTGCAACTAAATTGTGTAATTTCTCTCGCTTTTCCCGTATTGCCACTTCAAATTACTCTTTAAAAAATAATTTGTAGTTTTTCTTCATATATTAATATATTAGATCTATTCGAGTTAGAATGAGTCATTCCACTACCAGAAATGTTTTTATATACATCATTACCCTTAACCCTCAATGTACTTCATAAAAGTAACAAAAATACAATTAGAATAAAATTCAGAACTCATTTTTGCGTAGAAAAAGTCAAATCACAGAATTTGCTCCAAAAAACCCAAACGGGAAAAGAACCAAACCGATGTTGATAGTTGTTGTGGTTCAGCGGGAGAGCGCGGAGCCTCGTCTCTTCGTCTCTCACATAACTCATATTTCCCAGTTTTCCTGTCCGCCCTGTGGCTTTATCGGGCTCAAAGATGAACAAGCGCAAGGCGAAAGCCCTCATTGACTCGGACAGTGACGACGAAGGCGGAAGTGGCTCGGATATTGACTCGGTGAGGAAAGAGTGGTGGTGTGGGTTTTTAAAGTTCGTGTTGGAGTGAATCCAGAGATTTTGGGGAAGGATAATGCTATGGATAATGTGTCCTTAGTGGCTGTAATCACGCATTTATGCCAACAGTCATGAAGGTAGACTCAGAGTTTTGCACTTTATGCGTATCGGAAGTCGAGAAGACGAACGATTATTGATGTAGGCCCATAATTTCCCGTTATATACCGGTAGACATATTTTATTAAGTTTAGATTTGTTATTCTCTTTTTCCGATTTTCATTGCGACGAAAGTTTTCATTTGAGAAGCCAGCATTGCAATTTTTATTTTTGGTTTGATTCTGGCAAGTCGCTGTTGGGGATAGTAAAGTTTGGAAAGTTGTTTTTTATGAGGCAATTTTTCAGAATACCTTTGAATAACCAATTGCAACAATTTGGAATCATTGTATTTCCGTCACTCTCTCCTATCTAAATATATTGTAATTATGCTACAGAAACCCCCAATTAGAGACAATCTTGATACCCCAGAGGGCATGAAGAGTACCAGGGAAATTGTTGGGTAAAATATGAATAATATATACAGAATCAGTTACGACTCTGCAAGGGATTCTACCCCATGCAACCCCCATCCTGGGCCAGACTGGTAACTTTACAAAGTGCATGTGGAAGCTTTGATTGAGATTGTTGTGTGCATGTGGTTGCTCATTTGAAACTGTTTGGAAAAAATACATGAAAATAGTATGATAGCAAAACTACAAAAATTTCTACCACTATCCTAACATTTTGCAACTTGACACCAATTAGTGGTTAATAAGGTAAGAAGAAGAAACTTAAATGCAACATGTCGGAAAGATGCACACTTGATATAATGGCTGCATATTTGGGGACATCAACTGTGCCCTGAATTTCTTCTGTGCATGAAGCAAAGTTGTCATTCTGGCTCCTGGGTCAGCGCCCCTGCAATGGAAGACAAAGATTCTTCCACCTATTCACAGCAGGGTAGAGTGTATGATCAACATGTAGGAGCACCTAATGCCGAGGCTGCCCAATGCTCTGTCCTGCTGTGAATACATGGAGGATTCTTCGTCTTTCATTACAGGGATTGAGTGTTGGCAGCCCCACCCCCCTCGTGGAGGGAGGTTGTAGGGGGCTGAGCACCTTGTATTAGACAATATATTGACTGATCCTTGTATGTTATATACATTTTACCTGGTTTCCCTGGTACCTTTCATGCGCTCCTTTGCTATCAGGGAGGCAGGTTGCAGGGGCATTAGACAATATAGTGACTGATTCTGTATGTTATTCATATTTTACCCCACAATTTCACTGGTACCTTTCATGCCCTCCATTACTATTGGGTCCAAGAATTTCTAGATATATGTGTACTAGAAGGTGAGAAGAATCCAAAGATACCAAAATTATCACAGTCTGTATTTTGAAAAAATTAAGGTAATATTACATCATAGCCTGGGAGAGCAAGCTATGTACTGGAGAAATACTAGATGAACATATTAACCCATTGGATCTGGTTGTGTCATGGAAGTCAGTTCTGAAAATTCAGGCAGTGGCTTACATAAGTGGCCAGTATGTTGGGCGTGTGCGGACACTTCTGAGCAGTGACAAGACTCTGTGCTCCCCTTTGCAAAGTTATTTTATGTAATCGTTTATAGTTTTTTGTCATTTTCCAATATCCATATTTGTCTTTTGATTTGCCTTATCCAGATGGTAATGGATTATTTTCCATGCACAGACTTCATATCATCCCTCTATGCAGTAAATTTACTCAATGCAAGAAGACGAAAAAATATGTAACATCAGCATAATTATGTAACGTATATTTTTTCATAATTTTTGATTTTCCATATTACAACCTGCCCCTTTGGTCACCGACCAGGAATACAATGCTGAGCAAAGAAATGGTATCCTCCCTGGAGCCAGCACTCTTCCAGTCATGGCTTACACACTTTACACTCTACATTAATTTATTGAGGTAGATAATGCAAATGCCCCCTTCAAAGAGCCAAATAACTCTAATCACATTCCAAGAGGTTTGTGCACTCGTGGCGAGTCTTTTCTGTGACCTTGGCCTTTGCTCATGACTGCAGATCCACACCACCTGACCCGTGGCCGTTATGTCCAATGATGGTATGTTTATGTCACTCGGCCTTCAACCCAGATTTTTATATGGCTGGACCATCATGTGACCCAGATCGAAGGGGTTAAGGTAACTAATAACCAGGATAAATCATGCAGTTATAAAACAAGGGCCCGTTTCAACAACTCCTTCGCATGCAATGATCTATTAGAGCCTCCTCTCCCATGGCGTCGAGTTATATTACAAGTGTCACTGAATCAGTATGGTCGTATGGATCTGACTATAACTACCGTCACTACCTGCTACACTCAAGTCGACGATGCGTACTGACATCGCTATTAATCGGCCCTCCGATAACTCTCTTGATATGATACACTCTAATCACCACCGTCGGTTCTATAGCGCTGAAGACTGTTCAAACTTCTGTCATGTGCTACAAGTATGAGGTACTGCCCAT